ATTCTAGAAAAACCTCAGGCAGAAAGAAGATGATCCCAGCTGGACGAAGAGAGATACAAGGAGTGAAGGGCAGGGAGAGTAGTAAATATGTGGACAGATTTAAATGAACACTGACATTACGGGCTTTGAAAACAGAATTAAAATGTGTAACAACAACAATAGCATGGAAGTTGGGGGTACCAAAATGGTCCTGTGTAATCTGGGAAGGGGGTAAATGTTTGAGACACATCAGGCTTTCCTCAGTTAAGGATGCCTGTTGTAATTTTCCCAGGAAACGATTAACAGAATAGAAAAAAAGAATAGAGAATATTTAAATGAGAAAAAGATAAAAACTGAGTTATACAAAATAATCCAAAAGAAAGCAAGTAAGAGAACAAGAAAATAAAATAGGAAGGACAAATAGAAAGGCTTCAATATAAATAGATCAGAACTTATATTGTATTAAATATAAATGAGCTAAATGCAGCAGCTGAAAGATAGAGATTGTCAAACTAGATTAAGGAAAAAACCCAACTACATGCTGTTCACAAGAAGCACCTCTGATACAGAGAAGTTGAAAATAAAAGAGTTGAAAATGTTATACCACATAAATAGCAACCAAAAGTAAGTTACAAGAACTATGCTGATATCAGGTAACAAATATTTTTAGAGATAAAGAGGTTCAATTTATAATGACAATAGGAATATTTCTCAAGGCCTAAAAACACTGCCTCAAAACATACAAAGGAAAAATTTATGTAACTAAGAGAAGAAATAAGACAAATTTATACTGACAGAAGGATATTTTAAGACTCTCTGTAACTAATAAATCAAAGTAGGCAAAAATATCAGTAAAAATATAAAACTTTCACAAACTCCACCTGGTAAACGTGGATAAAATGGAGAATAAATGTGCTCTTCAAGCACACATAGAACAGCTGCAAAAAAGTACCATCTACTGGGTCATTAAGCAAGTCTCAACAAGCAAGTCTCAACAAACTTCACAGGACAGAGAAGTATGAGCTCTTTGATCACAACACATGTATGCTGAAATTATGCTCCAAGAGAGAACTAGAAAATTTCAATTTTTTTAGAAATTAAGAAATGCATTTCTAAATAATCCAGGGGTCAAAAAAGAAACCATGATAGAATTCCAAAAATACTTTAAATGTACAGTAACAAAAATAACATACATCCAAATCCATGCAATGGAGCTACTAAAATACAAAGAAAAGGATAAAAGCTTAAAACTAAGAATCCCAAATAAATGGACAGAGATGTCATATTCACGGACTAGAAGACCCAATGTTGTTTAGATGTCACTTCTCACCAAACTGATTCTAGTCAATACAATTTCAGTAAAGAACTCAATATGTGTGGACTTAAATTTCTGTTGGTTAAATTGTTTTGTTTTTTTTTTTTGGTTTGGTTGATTTCGTGTGTGTATGTACATGTAGGTGCACATAAACACATAAGCACAAATGTGTAAAATTTTACAAGCTGGTTCTAAAACTTTTATGTAACATACAAATGACCAAAAACAGCCCTAACACTTTTTAAGAAGAGACACGCTGGAAGGACCAACTCAACTAATATCAAGACGTGTTAGAAAGCGACAGCACTTAAAGAGAGCGGATATCGGTGCAGGACGGACAAAGAAATGAATGGAAAAGAAAAGAGTCCAAATACAGACCTGAACATGTCTGGATACTCACAATAAAGATGGTACCACAGCTAACAATCATGTTCTGTTCAATAACTGGGCTGGGACAATTGTGTGTCCATATGGAAAAAGAAATAGACCCCTCACTCACACTCTGTACAAAAATCAACTCTAAATGAATTACAGACCTAAACAGAGAAGGTAAAACTATCAAGTGTTGAGAAGATAATACAGATTATCATCATGAACTCGGGGTTGGAAAATATTTCCTTAACAAGATATACACCCAAAGAACTAGCCATAAAGGAAAAGTGATTAATCTGGTGAACTGTTTATAACTCCTGTTAATTAAAATAAACTATAAAGATAAGTCACACGATGGGAGAAAGAAAACACCAGGAACCATGTAGTAAACTAAGAACTTCTATTTAGAATATAAAAAGACCTATTACAAATAAATTATAAAAGAAAAATCCAATGAGAAAAAGGTTAAGAGGTTTGATCAAGCACATTTTATGGCTGCCGGCACACATGCACACGCACACACGCATGCACACACACACACACAGATACACGAAATCCAAGTGGCAAACAAACCTGTTAGAAGACGCTCAGCCAAGTTAGTCACACAGGCAACAGTAAGTGAGGTCTGTAGTCTTAACTATAGTGACAGGAAGGAGGGAGGAGTGGGGGGTTATCAAAGAGTAAATCTTCACATGGTAATCAATGGATTTATCAGCATCTGATATGCACAACAAGAACCAGCAGCAAAGCATATGACTTAGGTGCACAAAGCAACTAGCAGAACAAAGCGCCAAGAATGAATTTCAAGTGTGGACAGCGGAGCAAGAGCCCTCACTCGTTACCTTCTGGCATAAAAAAAGAGATGTATTGTTTTGGTGAAAAGAAAATAAAAGAAAGGAAAACACCTAAAATGGGTGGGGAAGGGTGAATGGGAGGTAAGGAGGAGAGGCTGGGGTAATGAGAGAATTCTCTGGAAACCTGCTGGTGAGCCAGGGCAGAGGGACAGCACGGAAGGGCACCGGTGCAGTTTTATTCCGTAATCTGGATCACGTCCTCTTCGCTCTGGCTGCTAGGAACCTGATTCAGATGTACGGCTCACATCTAAAAGTTGATTCCCTAGGCTCTAATGCTTCTTCATTTCTGACCATTCAATCATCATTTTCCCTTTTGCTCTGATATTTCAGTATGTATCTCACATCTTAGGCATATTTTAAAGGCTTTTACACTCTGGTTGGCTTCAGTAAGTAAAACTCCGAAGACTGAATGGATATGTCATACTAAACTACATGAGATTTTGACTTTTCTCAACAATTTAAAGGATATTCTGGGATCCTGCACTTCTTCATTAGTTATCATGGTAAAGAGACCAGTTATCTGTACAGATTATCCATGGACACTTTCTCAATTTAGAAGGCTGAACAATTCCTCTGCCACATGAAGGCTCCTGTGGTTTCCCTGCATGAGTTCTGTCCCCACCCTGTGACTCACAGGGAGGCGCGACAGGAAAATGGCTGGGGCTCGGGCACACACCACGCTTGCACCCTGGGTCTGCCCCGCAGGACAAGGCAGACACTCCCTCGCTGTGTCTTGTCATCTACAAAATGGGGGTGGTGGTGAGGACAGCGTGTGCCGCGTTAACATGCAAACACACACACAGCAAGGATGCAGCGAGTGTTTCTGGAAAGAAGGAGTGGATGGACAGAGGAACCACCCAGGAGGATGCCGGAGAGGCCCCATGAGCACTGTTTAGCACGTGTGTGCTGTGTGCAGGGACCGGCCCGCTCCCTGCTCTGCATCAGAGCAGACACCAGTGACAGAGGCCCTTCTTCACCAGGAGGCCAATTTAGGGAACAGGACACTGTGGGTGATTTCTCTTTTTCATCAAAAACCCTCTCCGTCACCAGGAAACGCACCACCTCTGCCCCTTCACCTGAGTGACCTTTCCCTGCTTTCCTGTGATCCCAGCTTTCTTTCCTGCGGGCTAAAACCCTCCAAACTCTGTAAGGAGCGGGCCGGCCGTGGCCGACTGTAACGTGGTACAGTGAGCCAACTCTGTTCTACTCAAAGACCCGCCTTCTGAGGCTGCTGTCTTCTCCTGACTCGGCTGGTACTGTTGTGTTCTTTAAAATCTGACGTTCTCGGGGCACCTGGGGGGCACAGTCGGTTAAGCATCCAACTTCGGCTCAGGTCATGATCTCACCATTCGGGGGTTCGAGCCCCGCGTCAGGCTCTGTGCTGACAGCTAGCTCAGAGCCTGGAGCCTGCTTCAGGTTCTGTGTCTCCCTCTCTCTCTGCCCTTTTCCCGCTCATAGACTGTCTCTCTCAAAAAGAAATAAACGTTAAAAAAATTAAAAGAAATAAAATCTGAGATTCTTTTCTGTTGTGAGTCAGAGCTGTGGCAGTATCACTGGCAGGAGGGGGGCAGTCCTCCCTCCACTTACTTTAAATACATGACTGTTATCAGTTCCTCTGTCTTGACAGGAACCACAGAGCGGGTGTTCTTTAAACGCCCCTCCTCGCCCACCTCCTGAGCCCGGCGCTGGCTCCTCACTGTCCCTCAGGGGGTTACACTCTTGACGTGCCAAGGGCACAAGGGCACGCAGCGGCCAGGGCGGGGCACGGGGCGGAGTCTGGCCCCAACGTGCACGGAGTGCGTCTCAAACCTAAACAGGCTGTGCCCGGCGTCCGGGTCTCGCTCACGGTACCAGGGTCGCCTCCTACAGTGTCACCACTGGTGAAGTGGATGAAATCCTGGGGTTCCCCTACAACCAGGGTGGTCAAGCAAGGGCCAGAACCGGGGTCCCCGGCGTCGGTAACAGAGGGTCACAGGCCAGAACGCATCAAAATCAGGCACCTGGTGCCACTGAAGTGTTTCTCCCTATTCCCGGGCCCCAGGGCGCCCCTCATGTTTCTCTGTCACCAAACCGTTGCTAAAATGGGTCCTCGCAGAGGACTGGACACAGAACCTCTAGAGCAGAAAGTTTTAAAAGAAGCAAAATTCCTCACGTTTACTCCACGGAACACACACTTTGCAAGCTGAGGTCGGCGACAGGCGGCACCCGCAGGGGCCGGGAGTGGGGGGTCTGCCCCCAGAGCTCAAAGCACTTGGCGTGCGCTGCTGCTTCAGAAGGTCCCACTCACCTCGAACGCGAGCTCACTGCGCGGCACAGACGGCGGGAGAGAGACCCCGGCCTCCCGACGCTGAGGAGGCGGCTCAGCTCCCAGGAACAAGCCCACAGGACAGCCGGCCACAGAGCCAGGGGACACCGGGAAGGGGCCCATGCGGAGGGCCCGGCCTGCGGACGGACGCCCGCGGAGTCGCGTGCAAGGATACAGGGGTTGCGGTCATCGACGCTGCAGCTGTCCAGGAGCAGGGGGATGCCGTCCAGCTCGCTCACCTACAGAGAGACGACAGGGCAGGGTCACACACGGAAACGGGCCGGGTCGGGCTGAGAGATTACAGATGATCTGTTTCTCCGTTTTATTTCCTCCCTCACCGCTGTAACGCCACAGCTTCCGCCTGTCCCCTCGGGGCTCTGCCACACTGGCCTCAGCGGACCCTCAGCGGCCTTCACACGGAGGCAGCGGTCGCAGGAGGGGCAGGCGCCGGTGGCCCGAGTGCCCTCACCGACTCAGATGAGGAGGCGTTAGTTAACAGAAGCCCCTCCTCCTTGTGCTGCAGCCCGGCCCCCCGCACCCGCCGCCACCCCAACCTCCGACGACTCGCCCCGGCAGCTGCCCCCACCAGCTCGGGACCTCCCGGGGTGCTCAGGTCTCCGTGCTTCTGGAAGCTGGACGGTGCTGCACGTACGCTACGTCTACTTTATACGACTGTGGGTTTATCACGAGTCCCGCTTTTACGATGTCAGCATTGTTTTAGGTTTTATGTGTTATTTGGCAGGATTTGGTAGGTTACTTTTTGGGATGGAAAATGCACAAACATTTTTCCATTTAATTAGAGGTAATTGTTTCTTTGCTTTCTGCCGTTTTGGCTTCACAGGAAGCTCTACTTCTGGATAGCAGGGGACGCCGGTATCTGACACACCTATACCAACCCAGAAATATTTAAAAACAGACATATAAACAGAAATGGATACAATACTTTTCTTTTCACCCTTTCTTAAAAACGCCGGGGCAGTTGGATGGTCATATACAAATGGGTAACGGGGATCTTCCCCCAACAACACTCACCAGGGTAAACTCCAAACGGATCTGAGTTGACTACAGCCTAACAGTACTAGTAAGGGGACTGTTTTTCTACACTAAGATGGGAAAAGCTTTTCGAACTAGGACTCAAAATCCAGAAACAATTGGGAAAAAAGGTTTTTAAAATTTGACTACGGTTTTTCAAAAGGCAAATAAAGGGGAGGTGCCTGGGTGGCTCAGTCAGTTGAGGGTCTGATTCTCGATTTCGGCTTGGTCATGGTCTCATGGTTTGTGGGGTTAAGTCCTGTATTGGGCTCTGCGCTGACAGAGCAGAGGCTGCTTGGGATTCTCCCTCTCTCTGCCCCTCCCTTGCTCATGCTCTCCCTCTCTCTCAAAATAAATACGTAAACACTTTAAAAAAAAAAAAGGGCAAATAAAAACCAAGAAAATTATTTGTAAAATATTATAGGCAAAATGCTAATACTTTAATACGTTAAGAACTTGTGAAAACTGAGAAAAGGCCAACAATCCAATAGAAAAAACTGGATCAAATACATGAACAGAAATGGCGCAGAAACAAAGAAATGCAGCTGGAACACAGAGACGTCAGACAATGCTCCACCTTGCAAACTGTTACCACGCGGAGACACCACTTCTCACCTGTCAGAATGGCAAACAGGCGGATCTGAGGACCCAGGCGGGCGACGGGAAACGGGTGTCCTCGCGCACTGCTGGGGAGAGCGCTAGGCAGAACGACGCCATGGAGGGCGCTGCACCAGGAGAAGCAGAGTCACACGTGTCACGGCTCGAGGATCCAGCCTGGCCAGTCCGAGGACCCGCCTCGGGCAGCCCCGTCCCTCGGAAGCTTGCCTGCTCAAGGCTACTCAGGGCAGCACAGGTTTATAGCAAACAATTCACACACGATAACACTCACCTTTTAAAGGATACAGTTGAGTGGCTTTTATTTTATTTATTTATTTTATTTCAGAGAGAGAGTAGGGGAAAGGGGCACAGGGAGAGTGAGAGAATCTCAAGTGCGAATGTGGATCTTGCGACCCTGGGATCAGGGTCTGAGCTGAAATCAAGAGTCGGACACTCAACTGACTGAGCCATCCAGGCACCCACCCTTCTGTGGATTTTAGTTTTATTCCCAAAGTTGTGCACCCATCACCAGTATCCAATTGTAGAACATTTTTATTATCCCCAGAAGAAACTCCATATGCATCAGTCATTTCTCATGACTTCCTCCATCCTGCCCTTAGCAACCGCTGATCTACTTTGTCTCTGGATTTGCCTACTCTGGACATTTTGTATAAATGGAATCATTCAACGCATGGCCTTTTCTTTCGGTTAGCATGATGCTTTCAAGGTTCCTCCGTGTTTGAAGCATGTGTCAGCACTGCAGTCCTTTTTAAGCTAAGTAACACTCTGCCGTCCGGAGAGACTGTGTTCTTAATTCATCCATCCTTCCATACGTACACAGGCATCTGAGTGGTTTCAACTTTTTGGTTATTATGACTGTGCTGGTGTGATCATCCGTGTGCACGTTTTTGAGGGGACACTTGTATCCAGCTCTCCTGGCTGCAGACCTCGAGGGGGACCGCTTGGTCTTGGGAACATCTGGAGGAGCTGCCGCAGGGCCTTCCCAAGTGCTGTGCATCTTCCGTTCCACCAGCAACGTACGAGGGTTCCAGCTGGCCCGCGTTCTCACTGGTACTTGTTAGTGTCCGTCTTTTATTTTAACTACCCTGCGGGTGTGAGGCGGTGTGTCACCGTGGTTCCGATCTGCATTTCTCTGATAGCTGATGATGCTGCGTACAGCACAACTGGTAAAAACAAAGATCCCGGAAACTCAGATGTTCTCCGATACAGGCTGGCTGGAAAAACTAGAGCACAGATGCAGGAGACCTCCGTGCAGCTGTGACACTGAGGGGGGACGACTACACGGAGGGTCCACCAGGCTCAGCGGTAAGTGCAGACAGGCTCACAGATGAACCTTCCGTGTAACGAAGGAGGAGAAATATACACATTTTCTTCTAGTTCCCAAAAGACACAAGAGAGGGTTAAATAAAAAACTAGTAATGGTCACCCACAGGGCATGAGAGAGAATGGGGCAGAAGCAGCAGGAATGGGGGACAGGGCTCTGTGGATGTACCTGGTTATACGATTCTGACTTTGGAATCCTGTACATATTCTTTATGATTTTCTAAAATTAAATTTATAACGGATGTTAACTCGACTTATTGGGCTGATTATTCCACAGCACACAAATATGGAGTCATTATGTCATATGAACGTAATCCATTATGTCAATTATGCCTTAGCAGAAAAATGAAATTTACAAAGTTGTAAAAATAGAAAACAGAAACACATTAATCTGATGACACGTAAAACAAAGAAAAACTACCATGGAATTAAAACAGTATTTGACTTTATGCCCTAAACTCAGAGAGAACAGCATTCAGATTTCTCTGCTTCATACTGGTATTGTTATTCTGAACTATTATTTATATACTTAGCTTAATTTTTTTAATATTTATTTTTGAGAGAGCACACAAGCAGGGGAGGGGCAGAGAGAGAGAGGCAGACACAGAATCTCAAGCAGGCTTCAGACCGAGCTGTCAGCACAGAGCCTGACATGTGGCTCAAACTCATGAACCGTGAGAGCATGACCTGAGCCGAAGTCGGACATTTAACCAACTGAGCCACCCAGGTGTACCTATAATTTAAAACAAACGCGTCATTAATGTTATTAGGAACTAAGATTTTTCAGCATAAAAAAGAAGTTTTAAATCCAGAAGACAGTTTTAAATTAGGTTTAAATGTTATCTAATTTATCTAATTAAAGACAAACTAAGAATATTAGCAAAATTTCATATTCTTCAATTTCCAAAGTACTTATTTCCTAGCTGTTCACTGAAAAGGCCTAGACGCGAGGACAAGCAGCCCTGAGCACTCCCCGTATCAGATGAACTGCAGACCTTCCCTGACTTACGACAGGGTTATGTCCCAATGAACCCACCGCTACTACCCACCCCGGCCCCCCCCCCCCNCCCCCCCCCCCGCCCCCCCCCCCCCCGGGCTCCACTCTCAGCCCCGCCAACCTTAACTGTGCTCACCCACTCGCAAGAGCCTACAGTTGGACAAAATCATCTACCACAAAGCCTATTTGGTAATGAAGTGTTAAATCTATCTCGTGTACTGTGCTGTACAGGAAGTGAGAAACAGAAAGGACGATGAGTACACAACGGTTGTCAACGTATCAGCTGCTGTTGACCCTGTGACGGCGAGGCTGACCAGGAGCTGTGGCCACTGCCCGGCACCACGAGAGAGGAGTGCACCGCGCATCGCTAGCCCGAGAAGAGAGCCACACCCAAAACTCCAAGTACAGTTTCTACTGGACGTGTTCTTACTTCCACACCAGTGTAAGGCTGACGATCCATAAGTTGAGCCACTGTTAAGTTGGGGACTGTCTGTAAATACACGTCCCGGTGAAAGATGGCGGATCTCTACCTGCCTGAGACGCACAGACCTGCAGAAGATGACTGTGACTAACTGTCCTTGGTTTCCCCAAGGCAGAGAGGAAGAGAATAAATCTAATTTCTGCAGTTTTTCCTAGGTGCTGGTGACAGGGCGAGAAAAGTCCTCCTATTTAACAGATACCTAGCACACACTTGGCCATGACAAACACCCCGTGATTACTGTTCACTCTGGCGGTGCCAGGGTAAGCAGTACTGGCTCCATGTTACTGATACAGGAGTGGGACTCATGAGTTAAATACCCTCCCCGGGGTCACTTAACTACAGAGTGTGGTCTGGAGACCCCCGTCAGTCTGGGAAAATACACAGTGAGAGGGAAACATCAGAAACAGTGCTTGCTAATAATTTAAGAGGGCTATGCTGTGTCTCATAATACAATCTAGATTTGAAACATCTATGTCTTTTTAAAATTTTGATTTTTTCTAGTCATTCATTTCTATTATATTTTATAAGCATATTGGCCAGGATGGGCTTGGAGAAAAGATAATCAGCTCTTCAGCGCCGATTGTTCAGAAGGTCAGGACACAAGAGAGGGGCCGGGCCGGCCCTGGGAGGATCACGTGTTTGAGAAGTGCAGAAAGAGATTCTATGGCCAAGCTAGTAGTGGACTCAAAGCTTCCCAGTGCAAGCCCTGCAGCGAACGTCTTCTCCAACAGCCCACCGCACATCTACCAGTGGGACTGGGGTGCTAACTACTATGCCTCTGAACGGAA